TGAATTCCATTTTGGTAGTATGGACTCCAAACAACGGAGGAGTATTCAAGTATGGGTCGCACCAAGCTGCAGTACAAGGCCTTTAAGCAGTATACATCTTTGAAGTGCTTGGCAAAGCGAAATATGAAGCCTAGCTGGGAAGATGCTTTCGAGATGATGTATGTCAGATGAGCGTTAAACGTTAGCTTCGAGTCCAAAAGCACTCCCAGGTCTTTAACCAAGGATTCTCGTGCTAGAGACACTCCGGACAAGCTGTAGTTATGGATGAGCGGTGAACGTTTGCGAGTGAAGGAAATCACTGAGCACTTGGATGTGTTTAATACCATACGATTTCTTCTGCACCAATCAGCAAACGTTTCGAACTGATGTTGTAAGAACTCGGCATCGTCTAGTTTCTCGATGATCGCATAAATCTTGAAGTCGTCTGCATAGGATTTCTTGTGACACCTTAGAACTGAGTTGACGTCGTTCATAAACAACAAAAACAGAAATGGCCCCAGATGACTTCCTTGCGGTACACCGGATGTAACAGGAAACGAAGTTGAAAACTGGTTGCCGAGCCGTACACGCATGTTACGCCCCATCAGATATGAACGTAGCCATTTGAGTAGCCTAGCATCAGCGCCTAATTTATCATACTTGGCCAGAGCGATTTCGTGGTTCATCTTGTCAAAAGCTGCTGACAAATCCATGTAGATTGCGTCAATTTGGCAGCCACGCTCTATCGAGCGAGCAAGAAATGAAGTGAACGTGGTTAAGTTTGTGGTAGTAGAGCGCTTGGGCATAAAGCCGTGTTGATCTTCCGAGATGTAGTGCGAGCAGCCGTGTGAAAGGAAGTCCAGAACAATCAGCTCGAAGAGTTTTGAGGTTGCACATAGAGCGGCTATGCCACGGTAGTTTGAAACTGTTTGCTTACAACCTTTCTTATGTACAGAAAACACGTACGATTCCTTCCAAATAGTCGGGAACACGCCTGATTCCAATGAGAGGTTGAACACAGTAGCGAGAGGTGCTGAAAGAGAGTGGATGCATTTATTCAGCACTATAGACGGGATACCGTCTGGGCCGACTCCGGTAGTATTTTTCAATCGTCTGCTAGCGGAAAGCACCGTGTCACTTGATATCGGAGGAAGTTCACCGAGCGGAGGAAGTACAGGCACATTACTCACGGCATCAACAATATCCTGCGGGCTAGTTGGGTCATTGCAAAAAACTCCGCTAAATTGTTTCCTAAACAAGTCAGCGATGTCGTCAAGGGCAGAAGCTTCTGTGTCACCATTATTTTATTGCTTTATTGCTTTATTGCTTTATTGCTTTATTGCTTTATTGCTTTATTGCTTTATTGCTTTATTGCTTTATTGCTTTATTGCTTTATTGCTTTATTGCTTTATTGCTTTATTGCTTTATTGCTTTATTGCTTTATTGCTTTATTGCTTTATTGCTTTATTGCTTTATTGCTTTATTGCTTTATTGCTTTATTGCTTTATTGCTTTATTGCTTTATTGCTTTATTGCTTATTGCTTTATTGCTTTATTGCTTTATTGCTTTATTGCTTTATTGCTTTATTGCTTTATTGCTTTATTGCTTTATTGCTTTATTGCTTTATTGCTTTATTGCTTTATTGCTTTATTGCTTTATTGCTTTATTGCTTTATTGCTTTATTGCTTTATTGCTTTATTGCTTTATTGCTTTATTGCTTTATTGCTTTATTGCTTTATTGCTTTATTGCTTTATTGCTTTATTGCTTTATTGCTTTATTGCTTTATTGCTTTATTGCTTTATTGCTTTATTGCTTTATTGCTTTATTGCTTTATTGCTTTATTGCTTTATTGCTTTATTGCTTTATTGCTTTATTGCTTTATTGCTTTATTGCTTTATTGCTTTATTGCTTTATTGCTTTATTGCTTTATTGCTTTATTGCTTTATTGCTTTATTGCTTTATTGCTTTATTGCTTTATTGCTTTATTGCTTTATTGCTTTATTGCTTTATTGCTTTATTGCTTTATTGCTTTATTGCTTTATTGCTTTATTGCTTTATTGCTTTATTGCTTATTGCTTTATTGCTTTATTGCTTTATTGCTTTATTGCTTTATTGCTTTATTGCTTTATTGCTTTATTGCTTTATTGCTTTATTGCTTTATTGCTTTATTGCTTTATTGCTTTATTGCTTTATTGCTTTATTGCTTTATTGCTTTATTGCTTTATTGCTTTATTGCTTTATTGCTTTATTGCTTTATTGCTTTATTGCTTTATTGCTTTATTGCTTTATTGCTTTATTGCTTTATTGCTTTATTGCTTTATTGCTTTATTGCTTTATTGCTTTATTGCTTTATTGCTTTATTGCTTTATTGCTTTATTGCTTTATTGCTTTATTGCTTTATTGCTTTATTGCTTTATTGCTTTATTGCTTTATTGCTTTATTGCTTTATTGCTTTATTGCTTTATTGCTTTATTGCTTTATTGCTTTATTGCTTTATTGCTTTATTGCTTTATTGCTTTATTGCTTTATTGCTTTATTGCTTTATTGCTTTATTGCTTTATTGCTTTATTGCTTTATTGCTTTATTGCTTTATTGCTTTATTGCTTTATTTATTTATTTATTGATTGATTGATTGATTGATTGATTGATTGATTGATTGATTGATTGATTGATTGATTGATTGATTGATTGATTGATTGATTGATTGATTGATTGATTGATTGATTGATTGATTGATTGATTGATTGATTGATTGATTGATTGATTGATTGATTGATTGATTGATTGATTGATTGATTGATTGATTGATTGATTGATTGATTGATTGATTGATTGATTGATTGATTGATTGATTGATTGATTGATTGATTGATTGATTGATTGATTGATTGATTGATTGATTGATTGATTGATTGATTGATTGATTGATTGATTGATTGATTGATTGATTGATTGATTGATTGATTGATTGATTGATTGATTGATTGATTGATTGATTGATTGATTGATTGATTGATTGATTGATTGATTGATTGATTGATTGATTGATTGATTGATTGATTGATTGATTGATTGATTGATTGATTGATTGATTGATTGATTGATTGATTGATTGATTGATTGATTGATTGATTGATTGATTGATTGATTGATTGATTGATTGATTGATTGATTGATTGATTGATTGATTGATTGATTGATTGATTGATTGATTGATTGATTGATTGATTGATTGATTGATTGATTGATTGATTGATTGATTGATTGATTGATTGATTGATTGATTGATTGATTGATTGATTGATTGATTGATTGATTGATTGATTGATTGATTGATTGATTGATTGATTGATTGATTGATTGATTGATTGATTGATTGATTGATTGATTTATTTATTTATTTATTTATTTATTTATTTATTTTTTTTTTTTTTTTATTTATTTATTTATTTAATTTCCACGTTTTATCTACTCTATTGCTGAGAGTAAGTTAATTTCATATTTGTAGAGAATTTACTTATTTTCATGTTCACTAAAATGCTTGGACTTCAGTGGCAAGAAGTGTAACTTTATTCCTAGAGCCTGGCCTTTTCATTTTAGCCATAAAATATCTCCAGAAGATTTGCTTTTATAAACAATCGCCACAATTGTAACATAGCAAAAATTAGTCATGTCTCACTAAGATAAAAATAGAAAAAACTAACTTTTTATCTATGAAGATGTAGAGGAATTATAACTTTGCAGAAAATGTCAAAAAAGCAACTGTGCTGAAGAAGTCAAAATTCTAAGTCCAGTATTTTCAGAGTTATGCACACTTATAGCGAATTCGTTTATTATTCAGTTCTAACCTGGATCGGGTATCAAGATTGGGTCTGCTTGTTCTCTGACAAACGTCAGTTTGCTCGTTTGTTTTTAAAACCTAGCTCAGGTTGAGGTTCGCACTGACAAAAAGTTCGGTTTCGCACTGGTTCCAACCCCGATAATAAACGAATTCGATATTAGTTTTGCTTTCGCTAGCTCGGCATTTTTTGTCGAGATTTTCACAGCAGAGTGCTCGGCAATATATTTTTTTAGATCTCAGCAAACATGACGTGTGTTTGCTGAGAATCGGCTAATAATATTCCGAGATTCAGCAACCAAACGTCGTTTTTTCTGAGATCTCCGCAAAATAAGTTTTCCGGGAACTTGGCTGTGGAAATCTCGGCAAAAATGTTCAGTAATTTTTCAGTATATCATTTTTGAAATTTAATTTAAGGTAAAATTAAACCCTATTTCGGAACAATCTAGCCCCCAAACAAAAAACGCCCCTGGATGATTCATTCATAAGAATGCACAAAATTCATCTGAATAAACGGTCGAACATACGCACCATCACAAAACTTTCATTCTCATTCTCGATTACAACGCAGAGAGCAGCTGCAGCTGCTCGTTCCCCTGCTGCTGGCTGACCCGCTTTGCCTTAACAAAAGAACCCTGCGAGAGAAAGAATGAAAGAACACGAACATCGGAGACCGACATTCCTTGTTCAGCCAACGCATCAAAGAAAAGAAGGTTCATCCTCACTAAATTGATGTCTTATTGCGCATTCCATCCTTATCGTGCCTGAACGCCGTCATGCGTTGCTTGATGCTACTGAAAGGACCAACATCGGAGCAGCATCATTTGTCCTTTGGACCTTAACCGAAGAGCATTCAGGTTCATCAGTGCACCCCCCGGAGTCAGTGTCCTTTATCGAAATCGATCTCATCCCAGCTTGCAGCAGCGTCTGGGAAAATTAAGCAAAGCGTTGTTGATCGGCAGAGGTTTGAACTAGAACTACACGATCTTCGCACTAGCCGAATCCGCAGGTAAAAGCTATACCCATACCATTGAAAAACTACTAATTAAACAACCCCCCACCAATCCACCGTTCTATCAATATCTAATATGGCGTATAGGAACATACATCAGCACCTCTTTTTCCCGTTTTTGCCTCCATCGCATATCTGTAGGTGTAGGTAGAAAAACCCGTTCAAATCGTCGTAGATACCAACACGAAACGGCGCCGATAGACGATTATTTGATTGTAGTAGGCGTTTGGTAGCAGCGAAGTGAAAAATCCGCTCCGCCGAACCATGGATGAAACGAATAGGAATAGTGCGAAGCTAGATATTGAAGCGGCCAGACTACAGTCTGCCGCAGCGGACAAAGGCAAACAGGAACACGATTCCAAGGAATCGTACAAGAAGCTCTCCGAGTCGGAACTCGAACAGCCAACAACAGCAGCAGCACCACCATCGACGGGACAAGTACCAGTCGCAGCTAATCCGGACGGGAACGGTAAATTTTAATTTTACTAATTCAACCCTTACATTTTAAATTGGTAATCGATCAAAAAAAAAAACGCTATTGTTCGGCAAGTCAATATGGAATCCAAGATGGATGACGAAATCAAGTTCAAGTTCGACGTCATCCAAGTGGGCGTAGCGAATTGATTGCAATCACGTCTTGTTACGACGCAAGGCAAATGAAGCAAATCGGAGATGATTTTTTTTTCGTGAATGGTTGCTAAGTGAGACTCGCAAAAAGTGCTGTGCCAATGCATTCCATTCGAAGGAAATGTCACCCGAGAATATCACCGTGGCGAACGTGGGTTGTGCGTGCTGACGTCTTTCTTCCTGTGAAGAAGCTTCGGCGAAGCTACCTACATGTAAAAATAGACCAAATAACGTGCGACGGAGGTTGTGAACTCTCGCATTCATTGAGTGATGGTACGGTACATAACCTATCACTCAGACTCAGCTTTTGCTTGAACGATGAAAAAAATGGCACTGTTCGATCCCTGATGGAGACGTGCAAGACGTGTGAGTTAAATTAGCCTGAAGGACGTCTGTTTGCGGTAACTTGCGTGCGGTTTTGAGTAAACATTCGTTTAGCAGTAAATATGGTTGTTGTTGGCAAAGTAGCTGCTTGTATCAAGTTGTCAGAAGCCTCTAAGCTAGAATGCTCTGCTAATGAAGGCAATAGTGCTTCCGTAAATACGAAATTCCGCGATGTGCGTAAAGGGGTTTCCCAGAGCGTTAATTAGCTAGTTTACTGTGTCTATAACAGATAACACAATCTTTTGATGATTACGCTGGTAAACGTGACCATTGACTTACCAGATTTGTCGCAATCCTAACAAAAACAAATTAAAATTTATCCACCTATGATAAGATTTGATCCTTCTTACTTATTGTATTTCCGAAAAAATTACTCAAGTCCGCATACAGGGAAGAGAAGTAAGATAATTTTCGAATGATAGGGTTTTTGATCTAATTTCCGTCGCATTAAGCACAACCCGCACTTTACCTCTCTTTTCTAAACGAGTTTAAACAAAAAATGGAATATTTCTGTCAAAGATGACTTCTAAATTTATTCACCTTTCCATACGTACCGTTAGATTCGAAAAAGAGTCACAAATTGTTTAGATATTGTTTAAAATCTAATACTGCTTCTTGATTCTAAATTCGTTCTACGAGTTTCAATTCCGTCCTAATGCATTGAAACGCCATTAGATTTTCTTCGTCCTACGGATAAACGTAGAAAAAGGGGATTCGCTAGGAGCGCTTCTTTTGTTTTGAGAACAATGAACGTAAATATTCATACAATGCGCTCTAACAGGATCTATGTTATAGCTAATGAACTACCGCATCGAAACAAACTTATTATTGATTTGTGCACGGTGAAATCATTGATATGATTGATGTTTTCTGATCGATAGAACGGAAATGGGCGATTACGACGAAGTAGCGCTCTACCCTATGTGGGTCTGTGTTTGAATTTTCATGAGATACATTTTACTCATGCAGTGGCAATCGAGGGAGTGCCCATTTCCTACCTGTTCCATGTATTTTGACAAGATTCCATAATCTAATTCTGATTTTGCTGATTTTGGTCTAGTTGACAGTGCCTTTTTCTGTAATGAAGTTTGAAGTAAAGATTATCAGGAAGTACTGAGGTTTCTACGTTGGGGAGGATAAGCTAGGCCCTTATTACCGATGTCACTTCACGGTGAAGTGACAACTTATCACTCACGGTGAAGTGATTGCCGTGTAACAAATTGGAATCACTTCACCGTGAGTGACAATTCTTGATAGAGCTGGAATTAGGGCGTAACAGCTTTTGTAAACAATGACTTCTCTCGATGATTTCTCGAAACTCAAGGCACGCCAACGCCTACCAACATTAGGTACTGCAGCGTGACGTAATAAATGAACTCAGTGTTAATCAGCTGAACCTTTTTGACAGTTCAGTGGTACTGTTTACAAGCACTTAGTCGTTTTTTCGAAAAAAAAATTCTAAAATTTCTGAATTTTAAGTTGAAAATTGTCGAGGAACAGCGCGTTGCAAGGATGTTGCTCGTGAACATTGCAGAAATGCTGTTTAAATCTCACTGCAGTCTGAAAAATTATGGAGAACATCCACCCAAGAAAAAATCGACTAAGTCCACGTAAACAGTACCACTGAACTGTCATCAGATTGAGGTTAACCCCGACGGTGCAAAACCTAATAATCAACGGGAAGGAGAAGTCTTCTCCTACCCGATGGTGACGTTGATTTGAGTGGGCGAGCCTTGGCTTTCTAGAAATCATCGAGAGAAGTCATTGTTTACAAAAGCTGTTACGCCCTAATTTCAGCTTTATCTAGAATTCCAGAACAACATGTGAAAAGGGCATACAAGCTTTTTGTAACCAAACCTTCTTATGCCCTTTTCTTGCCACCCATATGACACCAACGCAAACCTGTAACTTTCCCCTTCCCGATGATATTGCTGGTTTGCGTGGGCGACCCTCGGTTGGTGAGAAAAGGGCCTACAAAGGTTTGTTTACAAAAAGCTTGTATGCCCTTTTCACATGTTGTTCTGGAATTGGTCACTTAACTTCGTTTTCACCGCGAAGTGACACTCGTAAAGGTGTATTCAGATCTAAGCGATATTTCACGCGCGGAGCGAGATTTTGCGAAGGTACGAGAGGGAGAAAAGTACTAGTTGTCGCTCTCATTTCAACGCAAATTTTGCTCCGCTCCGCTAATGTACGCTCAGATATGAATACACCTTAATAAGGGCCCTAGTTAATGGTAAAAGAGAGTATCGATAAGCATGTCAGTAAGTCTTGGTGAAGTGTGTGTGGGGAATAAATTTAAATCAACATGGTTGGAAGATTCGATCTTCATCCTCGAATGATTATTCAAAATATTCGTCTTGTTCTCACAACCCATGACGACCGATCATCCACAGATAGATCGATGGAGGGTGCCATCAACTTGTTATCCATGCCGGCAAGATGCAGAGACGTCAAAACTCGCTCGAACATCTTTTAGGAGATCAACCACGAGGAGTATACCGTCCGTTGACCCGAAAATTCCTCAAACAGTTTTAAAAAATCGGATCAACAATATGTCTGTTTGTTTTGGTTCTATTGGCTGCTTAGGTTGCTTTGTTACTAACCGATGAGGCCAACAAAAAATGTTTGACAACTCCAATGTTGTACTCCCACTAAATGCCTCGCTAAATGCCACCTTTGGGTAATTCCCCTTGTGACCAATGATTCCCGCTTACTCAGACTTAAATCAATGTAGACGAACGGACTGACACAGTTATGTTGTTAAGATTTTCAACACTTAGATTTTAACTTGGACAACTTTTTGAGAGATCTCCGACTGCGATTTTTGGTTTTTCCGGAATAGAATAAATCTCGCGTAACATTTGAAACGGGCCTATCCTCGTTGATCGATTCTCTTCACCGACTTTCTCTTTGGTTTACCACGGCAACATAAACGAATTTCTCGCTAAGCTCGCAGAACAGTTCGACAGAAGATGATGGTAGCTTGTGCCTGATACAACACACTGAATGCGACATTCATTTGCAGTCGGGTTATTCGCCAAAGAGAAAATCGATGAAGAGAATCGATCACCAATGATAGGCCCTTTTCTGTTGCCCGAGAAATTTCATACATGCACTGAAATTCAAAAGATTCAAGGTTTGACAAGTAATTAAAATGGGCAGTTATGTAAACGAATTTAAACGATGTTGCATGGGATTAGCTCAATCTTCAGTGGTCCCTTGTTGACGTGATCCCGCAGGAAGTGATGCTTGACATCAATGTGTTTCGCTCTTCTACATTCTGTGTTCTTCGCCTTAGGAATACATCCGTGGTTGTCCTCGAAGATCGTGAAGGACTGATCTGATGCCAGAACCTGTAGGTCCATGTGAATTCCTTTATTTTCAGACACAGCCCTGCTTAGCGCACCGTATTCAGCTTCACTGGATGATAAGGCCACCAGGTCTGTACTGCTAAAAACTTGAAATACGAATCCGGATACAGATTTACTGTCTACAGCATCTGAAGCCCAATCCGCGTCGGCAAATCCAACCAGGGGAAGTTGAATTATCCTTCTTGGTGTATAGGAGTTTCATGTCCTTTGTGCCTTTTAAGTAGCGAGCGATTCTCTTCAAAGTTTGCCAATGGTAATCTCCTAGATTCTGCTGATATCTACCAATGTATCCTATCGAGTAGCTGATATCCGGAATTTTTTCTTCAAGAGTACTTCGTTCAACTTGTCATGTACAATCAGGTACACGTTCTCTTGAAGATCCCCATACAGAAAAGAGGTCTTCACGTCATGTTTTTATGTACGTACACTTTCCTGTGAACCGCCACAGCCAGGACAGTCCGAATCGTGGCCATTTTTGCTACTGGAGCGTAGGTTTCAATGTAGTCCAATCCATGCCTCTATTGAAAACTATACTACTACTTCATAATGATGCGAAACACCCACTTTGTCTTGATAAGAACATCATTGCTTGGGCGTTCCACCAGACACCAGCCTTCGTTTTCGTTCATGGAGTTCAGCTCGTCTTTCACAGCTTGAAACCAGTTACGTTCAAATCTCGTCGTAGGCTCCGGGCATTCCAGTTCGTTGACTGATTGATCTTGAATGGCATCTGTTGATGAACATTCTACAGCAGTAAAAATTCTCCCGGTGAAAAAATCTTTCAACTTACCGGGGATCCCGTTCCCGTTCGCTGAACCTCATGGTTGCCGTATCAAGGTTCGAACCAGGTTCTTGTTGCGTAGAGAGCCCTTCCGGTCTCGAAAGCTGCACATCATTATCGTTGTCACCAGATTCGTCATCATGAATCGGGCGACGCACCAGATCCGACACTCTGATTCAGGTTTACCGCCTCTTGCTCGGCTTGAGGTGCAGTCGTCAAACTTGCTTCATTTTGTTGCTCATCGTTGAGTTCAACTTCCAGACCGTAAGGTACAACCATAGAGGTCGCTCTAAGACCAGAAGG